ATAGCTGGGTATCATTGAAGCTGTGGTAGTTCACCCAATTAATAAAATGACGCCTGAAAGGTTTACCTCATTAGTGTCTAACACAGCCAGTTTGCAGTATCTGTATGTCTCACTTTGGGGAATCTGAGACACATTTAGATACCAAAATCATAATTAATTTTATTGGGACACGCGCTGACGTTGCTGCTTTATTCCTGTAATGGATCTTTACTGAGGGTGCCAGCCTTATTCCTGTGATGGATCGTTACTGATGATGCCAGTCTCATTCCTGTGATGGATCGTTACTGATGGTGCCAGTCTCATTCCTATGATGGATCGTTACTGAGGGTGCCAGTCTCATTCCTGTGATAGATCATTACTGATGGTGCCAGCCGTATTCCTGTTATAGATCATTACTGAGGGTGCCAGCCTTATTCCTGTGATAGATCGTTACTGAGGGTGCCAGCCTCATTCCTGTGATAGATCGTTACTGAGGGTGCCAGCCTCATTCCTGTGATAGATCATTACTGAGGGTACCAGCCTCATTCCTGTGATAGATCGTTACTAAGGGTACCAGCCTCATTCCTTTGATAGATCGTTAATGATGGTGCCAGTCTCATTCCTGTGATGGATCGTTACTGATGGTGCCAGTCTCATTCCTGTGATGGACCGTTACTGAGGGTGCCAGCCTCATTCCTGTTATAGATCATTACTGAGGGTGCTCGCCTCATTCCTGTTATAAATCATTACTGAGGGTGCCAGCCTAATTCCTGTGATAGATCATTACTGAGGGTACCAGTCTCATTCCTGTGATGGATCGTTACTGATGGTGCCAGTCTCATTCCTGTGATGGATCGTTACTGATGGTGCCAATCTCATTCCTGTGATGGATCGTTACTGAGGATGCCAGCCTCATTCCTGTGATTCATCGTTACTGAGGGTGCCAGCCTTATTCCTGTGATAGATCATTACTGAGGGTACCAGTCTCATTCCTGTGATGGATCGTTACTGAGGGTGCCAGCATCATTCCTGTGATAGATCGTTACTGAGAGTGCCAGCCTCATTCCTGTGATGGATCGTTACTGAGGGTGCCAGCCTCATTCCTGTGATAGATCATTACTGAGGGTACCAGCCTCATTCCTGTGATGGATCATTACTGAGGGTGCCAGCCTTATTCCTGTGATAGATCGTTACTGAGGGTGCCAGCCTCATTCCTGTGATAGATCGTTACTGAAGGGTGCCAGCCTCATTCCTGTGGTAGATCGTTACTGAGGGTACCAGCCTCATTCCTGTGATGGACCGTTACTGAGGGTGCCAGCCTCATTCCTGTGATAGATCATTACTGAGGGTCCCAGACACATTCCTGTGATAGATCATTACTGAGGGTCCCAGACACATTCCTGTGATAGATCATTACTGAGGGTACAAGCCTCATTCCTGTGATAGATCGTTACTGAGGGTACCAGCCTCATTCCTGTGATATATCGTTACTGTGGGTGCCATCCTCATTCCTGTGTTAGATCGTTACTGAGGGTACCAGCCTCATTCCTGTGATAGATCATTACTGAGGGTACAAGCCTCATTCCTGTGATAGATCGTTACTGAGGGTGCCAGCCTCATTCCTGTGATGGATCGTTACTGAGGGTGCCAGTCTCATTCCTGTGATGGATCGTTACTGAGGGTGCCAGTCTCATTCCTGTGATAGATAGTTACTGAGGGTACCAGTCTCATTCCTGTGATAGATCGTTACTGAGGGTTCCAGCCTCATTCCTGTGATGGATCGTTTCTGAGGGTGCCAGCCTCATTCCTGTGATAGATCGTTACTGAGGGTGCCAGCCTCATTCCTGTGATGGATCGTAATGCGGGTACCAGCCTCATTCCTGTGATATATCGTTACTGAGGGTGCCAGCCTCATTCCTGTGATGGATCATTACTGATAGTGCCAGCCTCATTCCTGTGATATATCGTTACTGAGGGTACCAGCCTCATTCCTGTGATAGATCCCTATTGAGGGTGCCAGCCTCATTCCTGTGATAGATCATTACTGAGGCCGCAAGCCTCATTCCTGTGATAGATCGTTACTGAAGGTTGCCAGCCTCATTCCTGTGATAGATCGTTACTGAGGGTACAAGCCTCATTCCTGTGTTACTGAAGGTTGCCAGGCTCATTCCTGTGATATATTGTTACTGTGGGGGCCATCCTCATTCCTGTGATATAACGACAATGTAGAGGCCATACTCTTTCCTGTGATAGATCGTTATTGAGGGTACCAGCCTCATTCCTGCGATAGATCGTTACTGAGGGAACTGGGTATCATTAAACCCTTGCTAGTTTGACGGAATCTATAGCTGGGAATCATTAAAGCCGTGCTAGTTTGACCGAATCTATAGCTGGGGATCATTAAACCCGTGCTAGTTTCACAGAATCTATAGCTGCGTATCATTAAGCCCGTGCTAGTTTGACAGAATCTAGAGCGGGGTATCATTAAAGCTGTGCTAGTTTGACAGAATCTATGGCTGGGTATCATTAAAGCGGTGCTAGTTTGACGGAATCTATAGCTGGGAATCATTAAAGCCGTGCTAGTTTGACAGAATCTATAGCTGGGTATCATTAAAGCTGTGCTAGTTTGACAGAATCTATAGCTGGGTATCATTAAAGCTGTGGTAGTTCACGCAATTAATAAAATGACGCCTGAAAGGTTTACCTCATTAGTGTCTAACACAGCCAGTTTGCAGTATCTGTATGTCTCACTTTGGGGAATCTGAGACACATTTAGATACCAAAATCATAATTAATTTTATTGGGACACGCGCTGACGTTGCTGCTTTATTCCCGTGATGGATCTTTACTGAGGGTGCCAGCCTTATTCCTGTGATAGATCATTACTGAGGGTGCCAGCCTCATTCCTGTGATAGATCATTACTGAGGGTGCCAGCCTCATTCCTGTGACAGATCATTACTGAAGGTGACAGCCTCATTCCTGTGATAGATCATTACTGAGGGTGCCAGCCTCATTCCTGTGCTAGATCATTAATGAGTGTACCAATGAGGGAACCAGTCTCATTCCTGTGATAGATCGTAACTGAGGGTACCAGCCTCATTCCTGTGATATATCATTACTGAGAGTACCAGCCTCATTCCTGTGATGGATCGTTACTGAGGGTGCCAGCCTCATTCCTGTGATGGATCGTTACTGAGGGTGACAGCCTCATTCCTGTGATAGATCGTTACTGAGAGTACCAGCCTCATTTCTGTGATGGATCGTTACTGAGAGAACCAGCCTCATTCCTGTGATGGATCGTTACTGAGGGTGCCAGCCTCATTCCTGTGATGGATCTGTACTGAGGGTGCAAGCCTCATTCCTGTTATGGATCGTTACTGAGGGTGCCAGCCTCATTCCTGTGATAGATCGTTACTGAAGGGTGCCAGCCTCATTCCTGTGATAGATCATTACTGAGGGTGCCAGCCTCATTACTGTGATAGATCATTACTGAGGGTGCCAGCCTCACTACTGTGATAGATCATTACTGAGGGTGCCAGCCTAATTCCTGTGATAGATACTTACTGAGGGGACCAGCCTCATTCCTGTGATAGATACTTACTAAGGTTGCCAGCCTCATTCCTGTGATAGATCATTACTGAGGGTGCCAGCCTAATTCCTGTGATAGATACTTACTGAGGGTACCAGCCTCATTCCTGTGATAGATACTTACTGAGGGTGCCAGCCTCATTCCTGTGATAGATCATTACTGAGGATGCCAGACACATTCCTGTGATAGATCATTACTGAGGGTACCAGCCTCATTCCTGTGATAGATACTTACTAAGGTTGCCAGCCTCATTCCTGTGATAGATCATTACTGAGGGTGCCAGCCTCATTCCTGTGATAGATCATTACTGAGGATGCCAGACACATTCCTGTGATAGATCATTACTGAGGGCGCCAGCCTCATTCCTGTGATAGATAATTAGTGAGGGTGCCAGCCTCATTCCTGTGATAGATACTTACTGAGGGTGCCAGACACATTACTGTGATAGATACTTACTGAGGGTGCCAGACACATTCCTGTGATAGATCATTACTGAGGGTGCCAGCCTCATTCCTGTGATAGATAATTACTGAGGGTGCCAGACACATTCCTGTGATTACAATAGTAGTTACAATGATCTTTGATCCATTTAACATCGATATTCAAACTAAATAATCCAATAGTAACTGATACTAATGCAAAAGATCAAATATGTGGTATTTCAAAGAGGCAAACCCTTTCGTTTGATTACAACTCCCACGAAAACTTGCTTCATTCACTTGATCCAAAAGCAAAACAAGATATACAAATGCATTTCTCCTTTGTTTCGCGCTTAAAAAGGTATTCAAAAATCATGTTGTTGGGTTTTTTTAGTCACCGAAGTGCAACATTATACTAGCCTCGTCCATTGTTGCCCAATCAGTCTGTTCCTTTGGGCAGCGCTAAATCAATAAAGCTAAACGTAAAGTCTTAACAAAAAGGACGGACGGACCGACTAGGCAAACATTTGCTGTCCAATCCTCTATACATAGGGATGGTAGTTCCCTAAACATCAGCACCCCCTGACTCACCCGTTACCGGTGTTACAACACGAGTAACATATGACTCCGTCACATCTATTTCTTATTATACCACGTGACATGACACTTAGTTATTGGTCCTAAATTCTGGGATAAGGACATTTAGGAAGTGTTCTTCTTTACCAATAAAATGTTTGATATTACTCTCGGCGCCCCAGGGTAGATAAAACAGTCCCGTGACAAATTATCAGATCCTCAGGAGAAGGGAGGTTACTCCCACCAATTGTACAATATCACTACGTGAATGAGAGCTCCACGGTCTATTGCTGTCCGCTTGATGTGTCAGTTTTTGTACCCAGATAGATACATCACACGTATCTATTCTACCATGACCTATAGAGATCTGCTTCGTGACTTATGTCATCCGATATGTTAGTTAAAAATAGATTTAATAGGTGAACACAGCCATGGTTAGTTTCATGTACTGGTTAGGGGCGTAACCCAGGGTAAAGGAAAATCACCCTGTCATTGGATTTGATACTAGACCCCATTATTTTCCGTACGTCTATTTAAAGCCAACCATTCCTCTAAAACGTAGAACAAAGTTGAAGAGTCGTAGGATACTTCACAGGAAGATACTATCCACAATGATGACTTGTGTACGCCATATATAGCAGCTCTTTTACAACAGAGGTGGTGGTTAAACGTAAGGTGTTGACGCGATACGCCTTGTAGTTTTAGTGAAGTATTTCCCTAGATTGAGTGTTAAAGTGTTAAATTTAGGACAAGTGACAACAACCATGGATGACGTTACAGCTACCTTAGCCAGATTGGGTATCCGGTCAGTGGAGGATGTCATTAGACTGCCGGACATGAAATCAGTATTCATAGTCATGAGGAAGCTAGGATTGACCACAACTGGACTGAAAAGGCAGAGAGATGCCGAGAGAGTGCTACTCTCCTACTGGAGAGAGCATGTTGCTCGTACAAGAAATGTAGGTCTATACCACGCCACTTTTTACTTCGCACCACTTCGCTAACCATGACAAAGCTTTGTATGTACCCCTGTATGTAATCCCAGCCTACGTTGTTCGGGGTTTAACGTCTTTCCAGCGTCAATATTGTGTCAATGACAGGCGGTTATGGAGACATCTTCGAAAAAAGAGTCGGTAGGAAAGAAAGGGCACAGGTCCCAAGTATTGCAATGACGGCAGCCGATCAATGTTAACTTCTTAAATATCTATTGCATGGAAGACATATTACCACCAATTCTGCCACAAATTAGTCGCCTTTTACGATAACATAAAACGTGGTAGAGCAGGCCTATATACCTCACACATTGTTAACCATAACATTTCTCTGTATGTGCTATGTAACACCCGTGTACTTCATTACTACAATGTTCGTCCTATTATTTCACTGTATGTACCCCTGGATGTAACATCCGTGTACTTCGTTACTACTATGTTCGTCCTATCATTTCACTGCATATACCCCTGGATGTAACATCCGTGTACTTCGTTACTACTATGTTCGTCCTTTCATTTCACTGTATGTACCCCTGGATGTAACCCCCGTGTACTTCTGTACTACAATGTTCGTCCTATTATTTCACTGTATGTACCCCTGTATGTAACACCCGTGTAATTCGTTACTACTATGTTCGTCCTATCATTTCACTGCATGTACCCCTGGATGTAACATCCGTGTACTTCGTTACTACTATGTTCGTCCTATCATTTCACTGTATGTACCCCTGGATGTAACACCCGTGTACTGCGTTACTACAATGTTCGTCCTATCATTTCACTGTATGTACCCCTGGATGTTACACCCGTGGACTTCGTTACTACTATGTTCGTCCTATCATTTCACTGTATGTACCCCTGGATGTAGCTATGTATGTAACACCCGTGTGCCCCTGTATGTTACCTTGTATGTAGCAGCAATTTACTTTGAATCACATAGGTTTTATATAACAAAGCATTGTATTCATTTTAAACCACGTGAGTTGCACTCAAAATAAGATGCTAATGAAACTTTACATGTAAATGTGATATTTTATCGGCTCATTTAGGTGGAATGAGTTGTTGATGTGAGTTTCGATATCTCCTTGTGGTAGACTTTCATTTAATAGACGATGTTATTGAAATTACTGGTTTCCATTTTTCTGTTTCGTTTTATTTTATATAGGATATGGATATCTCTCCTTCTGACTCACATTCATAGGGGTTTTCTCCCACAACCACTATATGTTTCCTGTCTTTCGACTCATTGGATAAAAAATCAAGGATCTGATTAACATTTTTGTCATCTACTAATGGGCAAAACCTGGACGTGAACTCACATGGTATAGTCGTTACTTTATTTATGACGTCTCATTACAAAGCTTTGTGACGTCATGATTCATGGCAATTGTTTCATTTCGAGGAGAAACGAATGGCTATCGAGACAAAACCTAAAGTTAATGTGAGAAAAACGTCCGTAAAGTCAGTTAATTTTCCAATTGTGAAAAACACTTAAGTAAAGCTCATATCATGTTTTACGATTTGAACATGATAACCATGTATAACCCGTTGGAGAACCTCTATGCCCCTCAGCTTGACACTGAAACGATAGTTTTTTCGCATATTGATAAAGATATCATTATACATTTCCTCGTCCTATTTACTACATTTAAAGCCAAGTAAAGAACGAATTTGTGCACATGTAGGAGTTATCTCCCTCTGTACACATCACATGAGTACAATACGCAGTGTCGTACATGTTATTAATGCCGAATAGTAAATACCACCATTTGCCTGACCTTTTATTAGCTTTTTTATGTGTTACTGACTTGCATTGCATGGCGGCACATAACAGACTGTCAAATGGTGAGCATCGTCAGAAGGATAGATAAATTTAACAGTGGGCAGTGGATTCATTCCAATGTGATAAAAAAATGCATAGAGGATAAAGGCACCCTGGGAAAAGAGTTAAGACCCGTGTGATTATGAAGTAAACAGGCCCCTGTGATAGTATAATACAGACCCTGTTATTATAACGGGATTGGTAGTATAGTACAGACCCCAGAGATTATAAACAGCACATGTGACAATGAAGGGAAACGTGCCCTGACATAGAAAAGCACAAACCCCTGTGATTATAAGGGATGACAATCCCTGCAAAAGTTTAATACACTAAACTTCTGTGGTTATAGAGAATGATAGTAGAGTAAAGACCCCTGTGATTATGAAAGATGAAGACCCCTGTGAAAGTAAAGTACACAGTGCAGACCCCTGTGCTAGTTTAGTATAGGCCCTGTGATTATAGAGGATTATAAGTAGAGTACAGACCCCTGCGATAATAGAGGATTTATAGTAGACTTCAGATTTCTGTGATTATAGAGGATCGATAACAGAGCACAGACCCCTGTGATTATAGAGGATTAACAGTAGATTGCAGGCCCTGTGATTATAGAGGATCGATAGCAGAGCACAGACCCCTGTGATTATAGAGGACTGATAGTAGAGTACGGACCCCTGTGACTCTTGATTGCCTCTGTGATTATAGAGGATCGATTGCAGAGCACAGACCCCTGTGATTATAGAGGATTGATAGTAGAGTACAGGTCCCTGTGATTATAGAGGATATATATCAGAACACAGACCCCTGTGATTATAGAGGATTGATAGTAGAGTACGGACCCCTGTGACTCTTGATTGCCCCTGTGCTTATGAAGGATAAAAACATTCGTAATAGTGTAATACAGACCTAAAATAAACGATAGACTTTTATACATATGTACTTATTATTCCGACTGAAGCACACACGTTAATTTTGTGAATAGGACATAACATACATGCTTAACTGGATTTGGAACATAAAAATGATGTTTTCACTCGGCCTCCAATCAGATATAATTATATCTTGTTCAGTTATATGTTTTGTCCTTGTGTGTTCCATGTGATATATAATGAGCAACAATTACCGATAAAACACGGTTCTGGAAGGGTACATGGTATTCTTAACGATTTCACGAGGATTTAAACAACAATGCAATAGAATTTCCTTTACGATTTGGTTTAATTTTTGAATTGGTATGCAATTGAAAAGAACACAAAAGCATGTTCAATATTATGTGTGGAATAAAACATTGATCAGCATACGTTGTGCAGTTGTAGTAGTGGGATGTGTGTACATACCGGGATCCATGTCACTCTGTATACAATTATATACAACCGGGATCCATGTCACTCTGTATACAATTATATACAATGCACATAGTGGTTACACATATATACAAAAGACTTTAAAAGACGGTCGGTTACACGGTAGAACCAGGAAGACGACGCGATACCAGTCAGTTGTACACATTCCTCACTACGACTCGGGCCACCATTGTAGTGCTTAACAACAAGAAGGATCTCTTCTCCTCCTGTTCGATGGTATAGGAGCTTAGGTCGTAATCGACACCAGGGACTCGGAGCATTTGGAAATATTACCATGGCGACAAGCTCTCTAAAGTCTGTGTCCGGTCCTGAGAGATACCAAGTGACATCTGTAGATGACATTCTCAGGATCCCAGATATGAGAACAGCACGAGATCTTATGAAGGACTGGGACATTGATACTAATGGGGTTAGAAATAAGGAGGACGCACTCAGACGGCTCATTGACGTCTGGAAGAACAACCCAGAGAACGTTCAGAAACAGGTCACTTGTGTGTTATAAGTATCTTAACCGTAACGTTTCTAACAAACAATCTTTACCAGTAACGCCATGTAATTTGGTCTGGCAGAACGAGTCCTAGTCTACAACAGACTTTACTGTAAAGCTATGTTGTTATAAATGAGTGATATATAACAGACTAACTCTACTATCTATAGTTCAGCCTCTTTAAGTGAAGGCCATTCACGGTCTCCTACACATTAGCTATACTTTGTTCCTGGTTTAAAGTTAAGTTACCCTATGTTAACAAACTTCACCTGCGTCTGCCACCGTCCCGCTATATTATTATATAGTCTGTTTAGTTGTTATATTGTCCTGTTAAGTCTTGTTTTTTTGTCCTGTTTTATATATTTTTTTCTTATTGTTCTATCTTACTTTTGTTTTGTAATAATTTCCCGTATGTTTACGTTACTTAAGACAGTGGTATATCACTTTGGTGCAATTCCTCAACTGTTATTATATTCATACAAAGTTCACAGCATAATACAGACTGCCTTAGTGTCGGTAATTATCGTACGACCTTGAACACAGCTATAGCCAACGATTTAAAGTGTGCATGTGTATGTAACACCAAATTCTGCAATGTCATGATATGCATATTTTCTGTTTGGTGTTTAGAGGGACAATGGCTTCAAGCATGCCCTGTCAGACGACAGAAAGAACAGACGCTTTCTAGGAGAAAAGTATGATGAAGTGATTGACCACTACAAGAAGCTTCCAGAACAACACCGACGCGACCTTGACCAATTCTTCAAGGGCATCGTTGAAGCTGTGAAACAAAAGAAAGGCGAGCTGGCAAGTAGTGATTGCGCCATTCTTGTAGCGGGTATGTATATGTGTCATACTTCAATTAAGTACGTTGCTAGATTGCATTGGATGTGTCCTGATGTGTCCTTTGATTGAAATATAAAAACTGCTCAGACACCAACCACACACAGTCCATAGACTGTATCTTTTTACTTACTATTTGTAGGGGAGACATCTGCAGGGAAGAGCAGTTTTATCAATCTTTTACTGGGGACAGAACTCTTACCGACAAGCGACCTACAGTGTACTAACACGATCTGTGAGATACGATACTCGCGCGACGGTAACAAGTATGCCGTGCTGCACCACCGATCTATCGGGAGCCAGAAACGCAAACCGGAAACTATAGATCTCGAGCGTGGCAAAGGCATCAATGTCCTAACAAAGGTGGTTACTGAGCTGGACGAAGACACGGAGGAAAGTCCGTATTCCAGGGTGGAGATATTTTGGCCCATTGAGATTCTAGAAGTATGTTCAATGTACATTGCATACATAATCAGTACTTAGCTGAATTATATAAGCAGTTACAAAACGGCGATATAAATGTTACATTTGAACCAGTAATGATAATAAGTGATGCATTGTTTGGAAGGTATTTTGTTTTAAATGATAAGTTATAAATCAATGCGAGGGGGAGGAAAAACATCATGGCAAAGGGAATGTGGCATATACAAATGAACTTAATTAAAGCAACATCGTGGAGATTTCGGCTAGTGTTCGTTTCATCAGGCTATCTGAGACAAAACAGAAACCATAGTCAATTCTCTGTAAAGTTCATGATCGAACAAAAAAGTATATATTTATTTCTTGGATTACTTATGTATACCCAATGTTAGACCCAAAATACTAGTAAGTATTCGACAACTATGTGGCACACCTACGTATTTTATTTAAGCATTGATGAGTTTAGGAAGAGTTATATCCCTTTCACCGCAGCCTCTAACTTATAATCTGTACTCACAAGTTCGTGCTATCGACGGCTATTCCGCAATGTATGGCAAGTTCGTATGGTTGTATCTGTATCTAAGAGTGGGTATAAATAAACAGTATTTCACATAATAACTCCACATTTCCAACTTCCGAGTATAGCGCGAAAGTGAATGCACTAAAACAGCCTTTATCCGTTCCGAGTATAGCGCGAAAGTGAATGCACTAAAACAGCCTTTATCCGTTCCATCACCATTTAGATAATGTGTTCGTTATAAGGTTCTTCTGTTTTCTATTTTCAGTCTGGTATAGTGATTGTGGACACACCCGGTATAGGCGCTAGTCGGCAGCTGTCGAAGAGTGTGGCGAGGTTCCTCTCTAAATCATTTGGCTTCATCTACATAATCAACAGTGCTAATGCTGGCGGAGTACAGAAAGGCAGGGTGAGCAACTGTTTACCTGAATATACAGTAGAGTAACGGTACCTAGCAACTTTATAATCTGTATAAAGGTCTTTTACACATTTAACGCCAATCCTAAAAACCCACAACAGTTGTAATATAATTCTTTTGTTAAAATCTATATAAATTGTGTCTGTTACAGTTGAAGGACTTCCTCAGACTAGTTACCACATCGGTTGACGAGGATTTCAATTCCCGAGCCACCATGTTTATTTGTAACAAGTGGGACACCGTGCCAGAAAGAGACCGGAAAGATGTATACAAAAATACCATCCTACAGCTGAAACGCTGTTATAACGCCGTCAGGGTGGACCAGATTTACCGCCTGTCCACGTCAGAGGTACATTGTATGTCTACGGCAGTGGTGGGGGCCTGTTAGGCCGAGGATATTTGGGCGACGAACAGTTTTACTGTGGAATTATATCATTTGCTCCAAAAGGAAACGGTTTTTGCTTGGTTAACATTTCGAAACTATGATAACCACTATGCTAATTAAATGCCCTCTTTCTTCAATATTTTTCCTTAAAGATTATTTAATCTGCGGGGGTGTACTAATGATGTAAATCTCTTGTATGAACAGGCACTAAAAGCGATGATCTTCGCCGACTGCACCACGGAAGAGCACGATATGGTTCTCAAGGGATTAGAACGGCTCCTACCGAACAGTCTGAAAAACCAACTAGCTTCTCACTACGGGTGTGTATATTATATCCCCTACCAAACAGTCCAAAACAATGTTACTTCTCACTACGGGTGTGTATATTATATGCCCTAACAAATAGTCCAAAACAATGTTACTTCTCACTACGGGTGTGTATAATATATCCCCTACCTAACAGTCCAAAACCATCTTACTTCTCACTACGGGTGTGTATATTTATATCCCCTACCAAACAGTCCAAAACCATCTTACTTCTCACTACGGGTGTGTATAATATATCCCCTACCTAACAGTCCAAAACCATCTTACTACTCACTACGGGTGTGTATATTTATTTCCCCTACCAAACAGTCCAAAACCATCTTACTTCTCACTACGGGTGTGTATATTTATATCCCCTTCCAAACGGTCCAAAACCATCTTACTTCTCACTACGGGTGCGTATAATATATCCCCTACCTAACAGTCCAAAACCATCTTCCTACTCACTACGGGTGTGTATATTTATATCACCTTCCAAACGGTCCAAAACCATCTTACTTCTCACTACGGGTGTGTAAAATATATCCCCTACCTAACAGTCCAAAACCATCATACTTCTCACTACGGGTGTGTATATTTATATCACCTTCCAAACGGTCCAAAACCATCTTACTTCTCACTACGGGTGTGTATATTATAACCCCTACCAAACAGTCCAAAACCATTTCACTACTCACTACGGGTGTGTATATTTATATCACCTTCCAAACGGTCCAAAACCATCTTACTTCTCACTACGGGTGTGTATAATATATCCCTTACTAAATAGTCAAAAACAATGTTACTTCTCACTACGGGTTTGTATATTATATCCCCTACCTAACAGTCCAAAACCATCTTACTACTCACTACGGGTGGGTATATTTATTTCCCCTACCAAACAGTCCAAAACCACCTTACTACTCACTACGGGTTTGTATATTATATCCTCTACCTAACAGTCCAAAACAATGTTACTTCTCACTACCGGTGTGTATATCATATCCCCTACCAAACAATCCAAAACAATGTTTCTTCTCACTACGGGGGTGTATATCATATCCCCTACCAAACAATCCAAAACAATGTTTCTTCTCACTACGGTTATGTTTATTATATCCCCTACCAAATAGTCCAAAACAATGTTACTTCTCACTACGGTTATGTTTATTATATCCCCTACCAAACAGTCCAAAACCATCTTACTTTTCACTACGGTTATGTTTATTATATCCCCTACCAAATAGTCCAAAACAATGTTACTTCTCACTACGGTTATGTTTATTATATCCCCTACCAAACAGTCCAAAACAATGTTACTTCTTACTACGGGTGTGTATATTATATCCCCTACCAAACAGTCCAAAACAATTTTACTTCTCACTACGGGTGTGTATAGTATATCCCTCACTAAATAGTCCAAAACAATGTTACTTCTCACTACGGATGTGTATATTATATCCCCTACTAAACAGTCTGATACCATCTTAATTGTCAATACGGTTGTGTATATTATATCCCCTTCTAAACAGTCCTAAACCATCATACTTCTCACTACGGGTGTGTATATTATATCCCCTACGAAACAGTCTGAAGCAATGTTTCTTCTCACTACGGATGTGTATATCATATCCCCTACCAAACAATCCAAAACAATGTTACTTCTCACTACGGGTGTGTATAGTATATCCCCTACTAAATAGTCCAAAACAATGTTACTTCTCTCTTTGGGTGTGTATATTATATTCCCTACCAAACAGTCCAAAACAATGTTCCTTCTCACTACGGGTGTGTATAGTATCGCCCTTACTAAATAGTCCAAAACAATGTTACTTCTCACAACGGGTGTGTATAAATAGATATCTTCAAAAACTATTCATTATTTATATTTCTCACAGTTAATATAATACTCGCATTTCCTAAAAATGATGAAATAAATCATGTTGTTAAGATATCATCATAAATATACGTCACAATTCAATTATTTTTCGATGTAGTGCTCTTGTACATATCAACGTTAGATCTTCTTTATACAAGATAAGACAGGCGAAAACGCGAGTGAACAAAGTGAGACACTTACACTGGACATAACAAATCTTTAATTAAAACCAGTTTGGCATACTGCGTACATACATGTACCGGTATAAGGGTTCCTAGAGTCAGATACACACAGTAAAGTAAAACACCTTTCCAGACGAAATGTAACTGGAACTGAGGAGACTGGTGCATGAGTACCCAATTATAGCCCTTAGTATGATCAAAATCAATGCTATCATATATTTAAATATTCTATTTAAACACCACACGAGAAAGTTGTGGAAGAGTGAAGCCCTTCTATATAAGGATTTCTCTTTGTTTGTAGGTGGGTTTGGGGTGAGCAAGATGTCCCTCGACCCTGGTAGTCCGATTCAGTATACATATATCCATGTTTACATAAATATTCTGAAATATGTCTATATAGTTATACGTTAAGTGTTTTTCTAACCTACTGATAAAGTAAAATATCAAAATCTTGAAAACAATGTCGCGTTCATAAATATACGCTGCAAATGCAATATATTTACGACTTGATGATCCTAACTGCCTTATTGATACTGATTAGCTGATGTATACACTCTGACGTTCAGATAAGTTGATGACATGTTCACGATGGCGTGTTGTTGTATTACTACAGATGGATATCACAAGTGTTAAAGCGGTCTCACTACTCACTTAAGGTCGCCAAGTTGATGAACGCTAAAGGATTGGAAGAGAAGGAACAACTACAGAAAACGTTAATGACACAAATGGACCGTTTAGACAGGGACGCTAAGTATACTTTAGATAGCATGCGCAGAGAGGTCAAAGAAGAGCTTGAGAACCTCTACGGACAGATTGACCGTCTTCTGTCCTCGACGGATGTACAGGTTCGTATCTGTCAGTGGGAAGCCGGCCATTGCCCACCGGCGGAAAACTGGAAGAAAGTTGTCCGCGAGGCGGAGAGCAGTATCGCCAAACGTGTAATCAGTGAGATCAATCTGTGGGATGATCAAAACGGCATCGTCAAACATCTCAAGGACAAAATTGTAAAAAAGTTCAAACGGAACTTTCAACTTATGGAAGACCAAATGCGGGATGTTGAAGGTATCAATCATTACGGTCAATTTACATTTTATCAACTACATTAGAAATGAACATACTTATCGTGTAGGATGATATTTAGTGCCCTAAATATTCCAATAGTCTACTTTTATGTGTTTGAAATCATGTGATCTAGAACAAAACCCTTTTAAACCTTTCTACTGCAATCGGCCATATTATAACGGTGCTATTGTTTTATAATTTGATACTAACCTATAATGTACAAGTAACATTATCTTTTGCTCTGTGCTTTTTTACCAGTTGTTCTTCTTCCGGGCGATAAACATGCGGTGTCAGACTTTCACAAGTCGATGAAAAGACCTGCGCCTGTGAAGAACGTGTTCCAAAAGGCAGGAAAGCAGGGGGTCCAGATCACCGACGACCTTAAGAGAATCGGGGGAGCAGTAGCCTGCGCTGGATCATTGAATACTAAGTCTAAGGAAGTAAGGCATATATTTAAAGCGTACAACAAACGAGACCCAAGGAAGAGCATGGAGGATGCCTCAATGATATTCATGCATAGTGTAACACAAGGAAACGTACTGAGGGCAAAACTGGATCTGTTTCTAGGAAAGTACATGAAGGGCATAGACGACATTGCTAAAATGATCCCAGACCTCCTCAAAGCTGACAGGATATTGATGGATACTTTGAGGATGGAAATGAAGGAAAACAAAGGTCTTCTGGCCAATCTCTTTCCAGACCTTTTGTTCAATATTTCCAAGAAGCAGGGTCTGCTTGACATGTTCTTTGTGACATGTATCATGGAATCCGACTTCAGAATGAGGGAACTTGATATAAACAGAGCCAAGCCACTTGGGAGTGGAACGTTCGCTGACGTTTTCAAGGGCAACCTTAGACCAGCCGGTGAGGCGGAAACAAGAGTGGCTGTTAAAATTAACAAGGAGTACATCACTGCGTCCAACGTGAGCGACCTCCTTTTGGAGGACCGCACATTAAGGTATATGAGAGATACATGTAATGCATACTCACTCAACTGTACTGTAAACCACGTTTAATTATTAATCAATTATTTGAATATAATTTAAGTTGTTATTTTCTTCTGTGATAAATAACCTGATTATAAATGAACAATTGGCATTGTCGATTGTGATGTCCATGACGCCCCCTGACGTTTCTTTATTGTGACGTCACAATTCAAAATTATTTTGCAGGTGGAGATGGATTTCCTGTTTCAGAGCATCAACGTCTTTATATCGAAAAACGTTATTAACAAAACAAAATACAAAATACTTTTGGTTTTACGATGAATAATAGCTTTATTGTATGCCTGTGTTGGAAATGTTAATTTGTGTTTCTCACTCGTAAAGAATGTATTCACCCTTTTAGTTAAATATAACTTATGAATTCAGAAAACAAATAATATCCTCCGTAAACAAAGGTTTCTATTTCACCCGTTGTTTATTATTCCAAAAATCGTCGTGAAAACTAAATACGGATATATGTTCTATCTGACGTATCAGCTAAAGAAATATATCTTCTCAGTTAATGTAATAGTACTATATATTTTCTCATGTTACTGTAATAGTACTATATATCTTCTCAGTTACTGTAATAGTACTATAAATCTTCTCATTTACTGCAATAGTACTAAATATCTTCTCAGTTACTGTAATAGTGCTATATATCTTCTCAGTTACTGTAATAGTACTATATATCTTCTCAGTTACTGCAATAGTACTAAATATCTTCTCAGTTACTGTAATAGTACTATATATCTTCTCAGTTACTGTAATAGTACTATATATCTTCTCAGTTACTGTAATAGTACTATATATCTTCTCAGTTACTGTAATAGTACTATATATCTTCTCAGTTACTGTAATAGTACTATATATCTTCTCAGTTACTGTAATAGTACTATATATCTTCTCAGTTACTGTAATAGTACTATATATCTTCTCAGTTACTGTAATAGTACTATATATCTTCTCAGTTACTGTAATAGTACTATATATCTTCTCAGTTACTGTAATAGTACTATATATCTTCTCAGTTACTGTAATAGTACTATATATCTTCTCAGTTACTGTAATAGTACTATATATCTTCTCAGTTACTGTAATAGTACTATATATCTTCTCAGTTACTGTAATAGTACTATATATCTTCTCAGTTACTGTAATAGTACTATATATCTTCTCAGTTACTGTAATAGTACTATATATCTTCTCAGTTACTGTAATAGTACTATATATCTTCTCAGTTACTGTAATAGTACTATATATCTTCTCAGTTACTGTAATAGTACTATATATCTTCTCAGTTACTGTAATAGTACTATATATCTTCTCAGTTACTGTAATAGTACTATATATCTTCTCAGTTACTGTAATAGTACTATATATCTTCTCAGTTACTGTAATAGTACTATATATCTTCTCAGTTACTGTAATAGTACTATATATCTTCTCAGTTACTGTAATAGTACTATATATCTTCTCAGTTACTGTAATAGTACTATATATCTTCTCAGTTACTGTAATAGTACTATATATCTTCTCAGTTACTGTAATAGTACTATATATCTTCTCAGTTACTGTAATAGTGCTATTTATCTTCTCAGTTACTGTAATAATACTCACTTACTGTAATAATACTATAGATTTTCTCAGTTACTGCAATAGTACTATAGTTCGTCTCAGTTATTGTTATAATACTATATACCTTCTCAGTTACTGTAATAATACTATATACCTTCTCAGTTACTGTAATAGTACTATATATCTTCTCAGTTACTATAATAGTACTTTATATCTTCTCAGTTACTGTAATAGTTTTATATATCTTCTCAGTTACTGTAATAGTGCTATTTATCTTCTCAGTTACTTTAATAATACTCACTTACTGTAATAGTACTATAGTTCGTCTCAGTTATTGTTATAATACTTTATATCTTATCAGTTACTGTAATAGTACTATATACCTTCTCAGTTACTGTAATAGTGTTATATATCTTCTCAGTTACTGTAATAGTACTACATATTTTCTCAGTTACTGTGATAGTACTATGTATCTTCTCAGTTACTGTAATAGTATTATATATCTTCTCAGTTTCTGTAATAGTGTTATATATCTTCTCAGTTATTGTAATAATACTATATACCTTCTCAGTTACTGTAATAATGTTATATATCTTCTCAGTTACTGTAATAGTACATGTACTATATATCTTCTCAGTTACTGTAATAGTGCTATTTATCTTCTCAGTTACTGTAATAGTACTAAATATCTTCTCATTTACTGCAATAGTACTAAATATCTTCTCAGTTACTGTAATATTGTCATATATTTTATCAGTTACTGTAATAGTACATGTACTATATATCTTCTCAGCTACTGTAATATTGTCATATATTTTCTCAGTTACTGTAATAGGACTATATATCTTCTCAGTTCCTGTAATAGTGCTATTTATCTTCTCAGTTACTGTAATAGTACTATATATCTTCTCAGTTACTGTAATATTGTCATATATTTTCTCAGTTACTGTAATAGTACTATATATCTTCTCGGTTACTGTAATAGTACTATATATCTTCTCAGTTTCTGTAATAGTACTATATATCTTCTCAGTTACTGTAACAGTACTATATATCGTCTCAGTAACTGTGATAGTTCTATATATCTTCTCAGTTACTGTAATATTGTCATATATTTTCTCAGTCACTGTAATAGTACTATATATCTTCTCGGTTACTGTAATAGTACTATATATCTTCTCCGTTACTGTAATAGTACTATATATCTTCTCCGTTACTGTAATAGTACTATATATCTTCTCGGTTACTGTAATAGTACTATATATCTTCTCAGTTACTCTAATAGTGCTATATATCTTCTCAGTTACTGTAACAGTACTATATATCGTCTCAGTAACTGTGATAGTTCTATATATCTTCTCAGTTACTGCAATAGTACTATATATATTGACTTATCAGTTACCGTATTTGTACTACATACCTTCTCAGCTATTTTAATAGCACTGTATTTCTTCTCAGTTACTGTAAAAGTACTATATATCTTCTCAGTTACTGTGATAGTACTATATATCTTCTCAGTTACTGTAATAGTACTATATATCTTCTCAGTTACTGTAATAGTACTAAATATCTTCTCAGTTACTGTAATAGTACTAAATATCTTCTCAGTTACTGTAATAGTGCTATATATGTTGACTTCTCAGTAACTGTAATAGTGCTATATATGTTGACTTCTCAGTAACTGTAATAGTGCTATATATGTTGACTTCTCAGTTACTGTAATAGTACTATATATCTTCTCAGTTTCTGTAATAGTACTATATATATTTTCAGTAACTGTAATAGTACTATATATATTGACTTTTTGCATTATCTGATTGTGAAATTGTCACGATCTCATTTCTGTTTTGCAGAGATCTCAATCATAAAAACATAGTCACCTATTTTGGGTCAGTTCTCAGCCAGAATGAAAAGTTGCGCATCAGCTGGATCATGCTCCTAGAATTCTGCAAGGGCACGTTGAAAGACGTGTTTCTGGAGGACTCATACGAGAACCCCGGAAAACTTGGAAACAGACGCAATGATCAAATACGTGCCATGCGGAATATGTCTCGGTACGTGATAGAGTTGTGTCGCGGACTACAGTACTTACACGAGAAGGACTTGGTGCACCGCGATCTGAAACTGGAGAACGTGCTGGTAAGTGGGACATAATACAAGTCAATGTTCCGTTGTTAATCAATGTTATTTAAGGTTTTAAAGGCATTCGGTAATGGTACATTTAGCTTACAAACCACTCGTCCTTTAATTTCACATCCAGAAATATGGACGACGTGTGCGATGTGGTCTATAAATGACATGGAATGTATTGACATTGTCGGTCGTATAATTACCTCAGCCACTTACTCCCATTTTATTAGCATGACTTACAAATAAGCTGCAAAATAAGCGTGCCAATTTCGATTTCCTGGTCGTAAACTTTCCATCCTTGACAGTAACACCTCTAGTTCGCCAACTGCGGTGTCGTTATCTCATTGGGTAGTATCCTATTCCATTGTGTGATATTAAGGTCCGTTTGTTGGCTTCGATTATTAGTGCGCCTTGTGGTTTCGTAGACACCACCACTGTCCTCACTTTAGAGGACACATCAACACAGGGGAATATTACGGGTACCGACCATGAAACAGAAGGTACTTACCCTTCCGGATAACCTGATCTTATTTTCCTTGTACTAATTAGATGGTCTTCATGTATGTTTTATCAACTTTATTTCTGTTTCGGGGGAGGGGTGTCTTTGTAGAAAATACATGGTTAGTAGTTTTAAATTCTGTAAATGTAAAAGCCTGTGACTAGTTGAAGAGTAGGAAACGCTGACCCGCCCCTGAGCTTCTCCGGTTTTGTGTTTTGGTTTATCACGTCTTTGCTTCTTCTCGGGCCCTGTTGTGTTTTTGAACATGGATTTCGTGTATGATATTTACATAAGAAATGAAGTCAGAATTATTCTGACATGTCTTCACAAGTAAGTGCCCTTACAGAGCTGGGGAAGTCATAAGAGGGCGCTATGCTGGCATTGTGTAAATAGACTTTATCTTTTCGTTCGCGATGATGCGTATGTTATCAAGGAAATGCACATAGCTTACGGACATAATGTCTGTTATCACGGGAGTATACATAGCCTACGGATATTATGTCTGTTATCACGGGAGTACACATAGCCTACGGATATTATGTCTGTTATCACGTGAGTACACATAGCTTACGGACATTATGTCTGTTATCAAGGGAGTACACATAGCTTACGGATATTATGTCTGTTATCAGGGGAGTACGCATAGCTTACGGATATTATGTCTGTTATCAGGGGAGTACACATAGCTTACGGACATTATGTCTGTTATCACGGGAGAACACATAGCTTACGGACATTATGTCTGTTATCAAGGGAGTACACATAGCCTACGGATATTATGTCTGTTATCACGGGGGTACACATAGCCTATGGACATTATGTCTGTTATCACGGGAGAACACATAGCTTACGGACATTATGTCTGTTATCACGGGAGAACACATAGCTTACGGACATTATGTCTGTTATCACGGGAGTACACATAGCTTACGGATATTATATCTGTTATCACGGGAGTGAACATAGATAACGGACATTATGTCTGTTATCAAGGGAGAACACATAGCTTACGGACATTATGTCTGTTATCACGGGAGTACAGATAGCCTACGGATATTATGTCTGTTATCACGGGAGTATACATAGCTTACGGACATTATGTCTGTTATCACGGGAGTACAGATAGCCTACGTATATTATGTCTGGTATCACGGGAGTACAGATAGCCTACGGATATTCTGTCTGTTATCACGGGAGTATACATAGCTTACGGATATTATGTCTGTTATCACGGGAGTACACATAGCCTACGGATATTATGTCTGTTATCACGGGAGTATACATAGATTACGGACATTATGTCTGTTATCACGGGAGTACACATAGCTTACGGATATAATGTCTGTTATCACGGGAGTATACATAGCCTTCGGATATTATGTCTGTTATCACGGGAGTATACATAGCTTACGGACATTATGTCTGTTATCACGGGAGTACAGATAGCCTACGGATATTATGTCTGTTATCACGTGAGTACACATAGCTTACGGACATTATGTCTGTTATCACGGGAGTATACAGAGCTTACGGACATTATGTCTGTTATCACGGGAGAATAAATAGCCTACGGATATTATGTCTGTTATCACGTGAGTACACATAGCTTACGGACATTATGTCTGTTATCACGGGAGAATAAATAGCCTACGGATATTATGTCTGTTATCACGGGAGTACATATAGCTTACCGACAGTATGTCTGTTATCACGGGAGTGAACATAGATAACGGACATTATGTCGAGTTTGCTTATGTTATCTACTTGTTGATCTGCGTGGATAACATTAATATATCGGGATAAGCTGAATTATATAAAACAAACAGCTCTTTCTTTATTTAAGTTCATAAAAAAACCGTAAATGGTCTTTTGGAGATAATACGTTTAGTTTGTTAAGTATACAGGTTTATCAAACATTTAGATATTGAGAAAATGTCCATTCTATAAAAAGTTATTTATATATTAAATACTGCTATGCGACAGTCATATCAGTTCATCTGTTTGTCATATAAGTCCAATGGAACTCTGTCAATACGTTTATTGACATTATTATTCATTAGTGAGTTGTTCACCTGTCCTCCCTTTGAGTATTTGTATGTTACCATTGACATCATCATCACATTACTGCAATTTTATCAACTTGAAATTTCAAGATACTAACTCGAAATTTCGACTTTATAACTCGAAATTTCAAGATACTAACTCGAAATTTCGACTTCATAACTCGAAATTTCGAGATAAACATAACTGTTTAAACCAGACTCTGTTCAATCCGGATCATTTTGTAAACCGGCAAAAGCATTTAGTTTTTAATTCTTTAACTTAATTGATTTAACTCCGAACTCATTCTACAGACCGGTTCTGTTTCCCAACTCGATACTTTCTATACATTAATATAGATACATCTCTGTGAACCGACAGCACAACACGTTCTGTTCAACCCAATCTTATTACTAGACAAGAAAGTTAACAGTTGAGCAGTGATTTTCAACTTTCCCGGATATCATAATACATAATTTTTATAAACATTGGTCTGCTCATATCGATGGCGATAAATAAAATATTTAATGAAATTATCTTGTGAATATAAACTTTTTCCTATAATTTTGTGAAATTTGAAAATATATATCACAAGAACAGAACGTTATGTAGATTCACAGAGAGTATATTTAATATTGTATAGAAAGTATAAGATGGGGAAACAAAGCCGGTTTACAGAGTCCGAAGTTTACACAATGATGTTAAAGAAATAAAGACCAAATAATTTGGCCGGTTTGGACCTTTCTAGAAGGGCTTTGTGCTTTAGGCAAAACCAGTAGTTCTTTCTTGACCATGCTTTCTCTTAATAAAGTTTATTTTTTTCAATTATTCATTAACTTATATTTCTACAGCTTACATTTTCAGGGGGTATCGTGTTTTAATAATGATTGTGCAGTTAACTTGTCTTTTTACGCTGAAATTGTTGACTGATATTTTTTTTTATATATGTAGGTATCAATGGAAGATACAGTAAAGCTGACGGACGTCGGACTTACAAAAGGCGCTAATATGATATCGGGAACTCTCGTGGGATCCCCCGTGTACATGGCACCGGAAGTACTTGTAACACGTGACATATACGACCACAAGGCGGACATTTACAGTCTCGGTATTATGCTGTGGGAGATGTGGTACGGTATTGACGCTGCAGAACATATCATACACTACATCCACAAATCACTGGAGGACTCAGTCCAAAAAGGCCTCAGGCCGGATATGTCCATCCAGCACCGACCCCCGGATAATTGGATAAACGTGATCGAGCGATGCTGGGACAAAGACCCCGTGACCAGACTGGAAGCTGCAGGCGTAGGCAACTTCTTTGAAAAGGTGTCAAAGTAAAGTTTAAACCTCAAAAAGTATACTTAGTGTCACGTATGACAGCAGTGCCATGGTGAGCCAACAGTGATGTTGTAACCAGCTTGATCTGATCTTGTGAGCTATCAATGATGTTTTGAACAAGCTTGATCTGATCTTGTGAGCCAGCAGTGATGTTTTGAAGAAGCTTGATCTGATCTTATGAGCCAGCAGTGACCTTGTAAGCCAGCTGTGATCTTTTTAGCCAGCGATGACCTTGTGATCCAGCAGTGACCTTGTGAGCCAACTGTGACCTTGTGAGCCAGCAGTGATCTAAGCTTCGGAATGAGAAGTCATCAACGTTATCCATATGGACTTTTGATGCATCACTGCCCTCACATCTAAGTCTATCCACCAATGAGCATGTGTGTCAGATAGAAGTAGTTTATACAAACAATCTTGTTGTTATAGTCCTATTGAAGAACATGTCTTTGCTGTGAGTTCTTTTCACCATTTTGTTGTTATATATATATCAAACCTGAAGAGCCCTGTGAAGGGTGAAAGCAGCTAGTTTTTTAGTCGATCGTTAATCTTATTTTTTCTATATTTACTTCCTTCACATGGACATTTAATCCCTTTTTATTTTATATATATATATATTGTTTATTTTTGTATATTGTTTTATACATTTCTTTTTATTTTCTTCGTATTTTTACAATGTACATTTTTAAATCGCGGCAAAGGAACGCTGATGTAGAGGACCTATTTTTGCGCAAGATGCACTGTCATATAAAGTGAGTCAACGAGAGATATCAAAAACGTAGAACATGTGCATTTGGAAATCGGGCCCGGTAAATGTGAAAAATCTCCAATCTGCTACGGAATGTCTCATTAGTCGCCTCTCAATACTGCGATGGAACTAAGTCACAGCAGGTGGTCCCACTTAGTCGCCTCTTTTTGTTTGCAGGAATTATGCATATAATTATCAAATAAGTGAGTGCAGGAGGAATAAGTAGATAAAATGGCCAAGATACTGTATAAATCTGCAAAATAAATCTGACAACGGCTGTTGGTCACACACACTGACATGAAGCAGCAGGCAGGCGGGATAGCAGACCAACTGTGCAGTAATGGATCATTAGGTCAAATGTCCCCTGGAAGGAAAACGAGCGGATGGCAACCGCCTATCGTTCGTTCATACCTCGAGGGTAGCGGGTTTGTTGATTGGTGATCCAAAACCGTTCTCTCGTACGTCGTCTCGTTTCATCCCATGTAGGGCAATGATCTATGGCAACAACCTGCATGTCTTTCCAACTATGGCTATGCCTTGCCACAGGGAAGTCTGGTATATTTATATATATACCATACAGTGCATTATCATATTTATGTGAATGCATCCGTTGGCATATTGTGAGGGTTCGGTGTGCCACAATGTCATGCTGGTTATTGCTAAGGTTGTCAGCTCTGGTAGAGTGAGAGTAAACACTTCGTCACTTTGTCATTAAGATGTGTACATCAAAACGCTTGCATCACAATCAACACACTTTTGACAATGTAAAGACATGTTTGAAAATGTAAAACGTACAAATATGTAACCATATCTTTTAATCTAATATCTATCTGATGTTTTAATCGTTGTATGTAAACAACATAGAAATGCATATTGTCATTCTACCATTCTCACTGATTTTTGTAGCTACTATGGAAATGTAGCCCCTAGATGTTTTATACATTTCTTTTTATTTTCTTCGTACTTTTACAATGTACATTTTAAAAGCGCATCAATAATGATCATAGTATTTCATATTAACATTTTTAAGTGTCTTTACAGGTTCTTTTTAAATTTTCAAACTGTTGCTATACTCTATTTTAACCTTATCTAAAGCATTTTAACGTGGGAATTTTCTTCCTTTATATCTTCCTGTATTACATGTTGTGTTGTGAATAGACGTTCTCCAACGAGTGGTGGTTGGTTATCATGTTTATTTAACTCGAGTTAGGTTACAATGTAGTACATTTCAAATTCTATCAGACACACGCGAGGTTTCTGAGTGTCTTTTACATTTTGAAACTTAACTAACGGGAGTTTTCTCCTATAACGTTCTGACATTATACCTAAATCATGTGTATTTTATAAATATGTTTTTCCTACCACCACTTAAGGTTACCTCACTTCCGACTCATTGTAAAATCTGCTAGGAGTTGATAAACATTTTGGGATATCCACTACTGAGTAACACCACGGACTTAATTTCATTCGTTAATCGTCTAATTATGTCTTTTGATTATTGTCAAGAAACAATGGTTGCAACGTAATCTTCTATTGTGACGTCAACGTTCACGGCGATTGTTTCCCTGCTAGGTAACGGGAATAATATATTGCCAAGAGAAACATGATTTCCTAGATACAATATGGGTATACCACTCGTAATGGTAGGTTATCATGTTTATCGAACTCTCATGTGTTCCATTACAAATTGTAAAAGACACTCGGTAAACCTCGTTAGGGAAATTGTATTTGGATAAGGTAGGTTTGCGTGCAACATATAATAATAATTACAAAATACACGGTTTCCGTGCACTCAGTGGCTATTTTTGCTCTGTTGGATTTCTCATTTCATAACTATAAGTCGGCAAATTAAAGTTGTCAGCGATACATTAGGAGCAATAAATTACATAATATCATCTAGTTTTGTTTATATCGTACATTCAGATAACAAACAAAAATGGCATACTCTCCACAACAATTAACAAGTTGTCAAATAGACGAAATAAAAAGCCGTGATAACACGAGTCCTCCATGGCCCTTGCTTAACCATCTAATTGATTAGGCCGAAAAGCTAGTCATAAAATATCGTGGATAGAGAAAGTTATAAGCTTATGTGGAAGTAGAATAGGGTAGCAGACATCATATATAGTCAGCATCATATATAGTCAATCATATATAGTCAGCATAGCACCATATAAAGTCATATATAGTCAGCATCATATAAAGTCAGCATCATATATAGTCAGACTGAACTGTGCAGTCACGTTGATTTTACGTGGAATAATCATTTCAGACGATTATCTATTATTCATTTACATTTATTTATGTATTCCCACCTGCTCGTTGTCAAGGTATGTTGGGCATAGTGTATGCATTATACAACAGGTTGTCCGACATCCTGATGAAAATGAAATAAAAAATCTGATATTTTCATGTATTGTTTTCGAATTTGTATTTAATGCCATAGCAATTCTGTTCAGTCGTGGTCAAACAAGAAAATGATAACAGAGTGAAGGACGAAATCGGCGACAGACAATTAGACCCTTTCATCATCAATTTGTGTACAAAATGGCCTGGACATGGACAACAATGAGATAGATACAACCAGCTAATTTGGCAGAGTCTATTGAATCTGTGAAAAGATAGGATAGATATAAAAGGATGTTCAGAACTGGCATTCAAACAATAACAGCACAAAGTCACAAAAGGGGAGAAATAAAAAGGTATCAAAGACTCAGAACCCATGTCAAATATCGATTATAATAAAAGAACACAAGAACAAACTTTAATACAGCATCCACAAACTCACAATCCTCAAAACACGTAGGTTACAGACAGGAAGGAAACCCTGGTAGGCTAGTAATAAACAACAGAGCTCCATGTACACAACAAACTCACAAATCTCAAATCACGTAGGTTACAGACAGGAAGGAAGCCCTGGTAGGCTAGTAATAAACAGGACAGCTCCATGTACTCAACAAACTCACAAATCTCACAAAACGTAGGTTACAGACAGGAAGGAAACCCTGGTAGACAGCTCCATGTACTCAATAAACTCACAAATCTTAACAAACGTAGGTTACAGATAGGAAGGAAACCCTGGTAGGCTAGTAATAAACAACAGAGCTCCATGTACACAACAAACTCACAAATCTCAAAACACGTAGGTTACAGACAGGAAGGAAACCCTGGTAGACAGATCCATGTACTCAATAAACTCACAAATCTTAACAAACGTAGGTTACAGACAGGAAGGAAACCCTGGTAGCCTAGTAATAAACAAGACAGCTCCATGTACTCAACAAACTCACAAAACTCAAAAAACGTTCGTTACAGACAAAAAGGAAAACCTCGTAGGCTAGTAATAAACAAGACAGCTCCATGTACTCAACAAACTCACAAATGTCAAAACACGTAGGTTACAGACAGGAAGGAAAACCTCGTAGGCTAGTAATAAACTGGACAGCTCCATGTAATCAACAAACTCAGAAATGTCAAAACACGTAGATTACAGACAGGAAGGAAAGCCTGGTAGGCAAGTAATAAACAGGACAGCTCCATGTACTCAACAAACTCACAAATCTCATAAACGTAGGTTACAGTCAGGAAGGAAACCCTGGTAGGCTAGTAATAAACAGGACAGCTCCATGTACTCAACAAACTCACATATCTAAAAAAAAACGCAGGTTACAGACAGGAAGGAAACCCTGGTGGGCTAGTAATAAACAAGACAGCTCCATGTACACAACAAACTCACAAATCTCAAAACACGAAGGTTACAGACAGGAAGGAAACCCTGGGAGGATAGTAACAAACAAGACAGCTCCATGTACTCAACAAACTTACAAATCTCAAAACACGTAGGTTACAGACAGGAAGGAAACCCTGGGAGGATAGTAACAAACAAGACAGCTCCATGTACTTAACAAACTCACAAATCTCAAAACACGAAGGTTACAAACAGGAAGGAAACCATGGTAGGCTAGTAATAAACAAGACCGCTCCATGTACTCAACAAACTCACAAATCTCACAAAACGTAGGTTACAGACAGGAAGGAAAACCTCGTAGGCTAGTAATAAACAAGACAGCTCCAAGTACTCAACAAACTCACAAATCTCAAAACACGAAGGTTACAGACAGGAAGGAAACCCTGGTAGGATAGTAACAAACAAGACTGTTCCATGTACTTAACAAACTCACAAATCTCAAAACACGAAGGTTACAGACAGGAAGGAAACCATGGTAGGCTAGTAATAAACAAGACAGCTCCAAGTACTCAACAAACTCACAAATCTCAAAACACGAAGGTTACAAACAGGAAGGAAACCATGGTAGGCTAGTAATAAACAAGACAGCTATATGTACTCAACAAACTCACAAATCTCAAAAAACGTACGTTAGAGACAGGAAGGAAAACCTCGGAGGCTAGTAATAAACTGGACAGCTCCATGTACTCAACAAACTCACATATCTAAAAAAAAACGCAGGTTACAGACAGGAAGGAAACCCTGGTAGGATAGTAACAAACAAGACTGTTCCATGTACTTAACAAACTCACAAATCTCAAAACACGAAGGTTACAGACAGGAAGGAAACCCTGGTAGCCTAGTAATAAACAAGACAGCTCCATGTACTCAACAAACTCACAATTCTCATAAAACGTAGGTTACAGACAGGAAGGAAACCCTGGTAGGATAGTAATAAACAAGACAGCTCCATGTACTCAAATAACTCACAAATCTTAAAAAACGTAGGTTACAGACAGGAAGGAAACCCTGGTAGGATAGTAATAAACAAGACTGATCCATG